GCCACAATGCCCAGCTATTTTTTGGTTGCAGCCATCATTGTCGTTTGGCAGGCTGGGCTGGATTCGAACCCGCCACTTTAGGTGTATGTGGCTAGTGCCTTAGCTGCTTGAACCACAGGCGCTGAGCCCTATAATGGATTCTTAACTGGTCTCTGTTTTCACTCTTGTCCTCCCTATGATCTGTTCTCCATACAACAGCCAGAGTTTGCTTTTTTTGTTTTTTATGAATAAATCAGATCTTGTCATCCTCTTGTATCAGAATACTCCAATATCATTTCATATACCTGGAGTACAAGGTAATCAAACCTTTTTTTTTTTTTTTTTTTTTGAGACAGAGCCTCAAGCTGTCACCCTGGGTAGAGTACCATGGCATCACAGCTCACAGCAATCTCAAACTCCTGAGCTCAAGGGATTCTCTTGCCTCAGCCTCCCAAGTAGCTGGGATTACAGGCACCTGCCACAATGTCCAGCTATTATTTGGTTGCAGTCGTCACTGTTTGGTGGGCCCGGGCTGGATTCGAACCTGCCAACTCAGGTGTACGTGGCTGGTGCCTTAGGCGCTTGAGCCACAGGCGCCGAGCCTAAACCATTCCTTTTGTTGCAGAACTTATGTGCATTGGCTTCTCTGTTTCCTACCTCTCCCCTTTATCAGCTGCACTGGTCCTTTCTCTGTTGCTGTTTTTGTATGGAATGGCTTGCCGGGATTTTAAATAGTTGAGTCCTTCTTGTGTTTTTACATCTTATTAAATGTCACTTCTCAATCAGTCCCCACAGCCATTCAGTCTAATGTAGCTGTCCAGTCACATTTGTCACATCAGAGTATGTTGATTCTCTGTGTAGGAGGCATCACTATGTTTCTTACATATGTAATTTTCTTTCTTTCTCTATTAGAATGTAAGTTGCCTGAGAAAAGAACTTTGCCTTTCTTATGTATCATTGGCATTTATCAAAGTAATGAAACATTGATCTATTTAGATTATTAAATATGAAATGTCCAGTTTCATATCACAAGTTTATTATATCTCAAAGAAGAAGCAGTACAGTTAATCAAAGTGTGCACCTACACTATCAACACAGTTTTGACATCTTAATGATGGCTTGTTTATACCAGCAGCGAAGAAGCCTAGCTCCAGCAAGTGGTGATGAAATCACAAAAGGCACTTTCCACAGCTTGTTGAGAATTGAGTATTTTTCCTTATAAGGAGTCCAAAGCCTGAAAGAAGTGGCAGTCAGTATAAGGTCTGGTGAATATGGTGAATGATAGAGGGTTCCAAGTCCAGCTTCGAACAGTGTTTGTCTAACAACATTGTTTTACAAGAGGATTGGCCTGTTTCTCTGTTGACCAATCTTAATCACAAGCCTCCTCATCATTTCATCTATTTGGTACGGTAGACATCCATTGTAACTGATTGACCAGGTTTCATGAAGCTGTAGTGGATAAATACCAATACTGGGCCACCAACCAGACATTATTAGCTCTTTTGATGAACTTTAGGTTTTGTATTGTGTTTCAGCGCTTCATCCGTATCCAACCATTGTACCAAATGCTCGTGATTGTCAAAAAGAATCCATTTTTCATCACATGTAACAATGCAGTGTAGAAATGGTTAGTCTTTTACATTTGAAGAGGGCATAGAAAGAGGAGCTTTGAGACAGTGTCTCTTCTGTAGGTAACTTAATTCATTCAGCACCCATTTATCCAGCTTTTTGCCTTGCCAGTTTGTTTCAAATGGTTCAATGTTGTTGGAATACTAACATCAAACTCTGCTACTTGACGTGGATTTACTTTCACTATAGCTTTCAGCTCATTGTCCATCTTGGTTTCAGGTCCCTCACATGCTTCATTTTCAAAATTAAAATCACCACAATGTAACTTTTGTACATTCATTAGCCACATCCTTCCTAAACACTTCATTGATATTTCAAGCTATCTGCATTAGTTCTACAATGGAATACATATTTAAAAAAACATGAATTTTCAGTTTATCCATGGTTTCACAAAAATTGCTCTACAAAATATTTGAAAGATAATCACAAGCCAAAGCATGTATTTGAAAGATGAGGATGTACCTTCACAATTAAAAAAAGCAAAAACAAAATAGCCAGGTGTTGTGGCAGGCACCTGTAGTCCCAGCTACTCAGGAGGCTGAGGCAAGAGAATCATCTGAGCCCAGGAGTTGGAGGTTGCTGTGAGCTGTGTGATGCCATGGCACTCTACCAAGGGGGATAAAGTGGGACTCTGTCTCTACGGAAAAAACAAGTGTCAAAATGAAATGTCAGAGGTATCAACTATCAAACTTACTACTTAAGGAAATCAAACTTTTTTTTTTTTTTTGAGACAAAGTCTCACTATGTCACCCTCAGTAGCCATGGTATCACAGCTCATAGCAACCTCAGACTCTTTGGGCTTAAGCGATTCTCTTGCCTCAGCCTCCCAAGTAGCTGGGACTACAAGTGCCCACCATAATGCCCAGCTATTTTTTTGTTGCAGTTGTCATTGTTAGCAGGCCTGGCCTGGGCTCAAACCCGCCACCTTCTGTGTATGTGGCTGGCGCCCTACTCAGTGAGCTATGGGTGCCGAGCCAAAATCAGACATTTCTTAATAACCTAATAATTTGTTTGAAAATTTATCTAGAGTAGTAATGGTCCTGAATAACAAATTCTTAATCAACTCATGACTTACATTGTTATCATTTAACACTGAGTAAATTATTAAATCTTAGGCTAATTTTATTTAGGGTAAAATTTTCCTATTAATATCTCAGAAAGCAAGCTCTAGTTGGTAATAAATACCATCAGTGAGTTGGCATAAATTGTGTCTTATTTTGTCACAGGGAAGAATGTTGTTAATCCAAAACTGAGATGGCAAAAGTTTAAACAGACTAGGTTTACTTCTGTCCTTGTTTCTTTTCTTTATTTATTTACTGAGCAGGTGACCATCCACGGCAAGATAGCATGGATTTTAGTAATGAATGGGGTGATCCCTCAAACTGTAGATGTGGAGATAGACTGAAACCACTAGAGCGGAGAGCTGCACGTCAGCACCAACGATGTCTAGCACATTCTTTGGTTGGAACTCCCAATTATATTGCACCTGAAGTGTTGCTACGAACAGGTAAAACATTTGTTTCATAAATAATCTCAGTAGGACTGTAGACCAGTCAACATTTACACTGGAATATGCCTTATTTTTTAGGTTTATAATGAAAGTATTAATTTTATAATATAAATTAGTATTATTTAATTTTGATTGTATTCTGAGCATTTTTTGAGTGTTTATGAATAACTAACTTTGATATCTTATTTTAGGATACACACAGTTGTGTGATTGGTGGAGTGTCGGTGTTATTCTTTTTGAAATGTTGGTGGGACAGCCTCCTTTCCTGGCAAAAACACCATTAGAAACACAGATGAAGGTAAAGTATAGAATCTGTGTCAAACAAATTATCACAAAGTCCCTGTACCACAGTACTTTATTAGTACTTCACTTAGAGCATCTTAATCTAGAGTTAAAGAATGAACTTCCTTAAGTAAATATTTTAGATTAGTTTGTTGGCAACATAGTCTCTTAATTTTTCTTCAGTTGAGAATGTCTTTATTTTACCTTCTTTAGAATATTATCACTTGATATACAACTCCAGGTTTCAGTTCTTGCAGCATTTAAAGTATCCACTTCCTTCTGTCCTCCATAATTTGATGAGAAATCCATAGTCATTCAGACCCCCTCAAGCAGTACATCATTTTCCTCATGCTGCTTTCAGTATTGTAGTTGTGATGTATCTGAGCATGGATTTCTTGGGGTTTATCCTGTTTGGTATTCAGTGAGTATCTCGAATCTATATGTTTTTGTCTTTCATCAGATTTGAGGAGTGTTCAACCACCACTTCTTTAATTTTTTTTTTTTTTTGAGTAGAGTGATATGGCATCCCAGCTCACAGCAACCTCAAACTTTTAGGCTCAAATGATTCTCTTGCCTTAGCCTTCAGAGTAGCTGGGACTATAGGAGTCCACCACAATGCCTGGCTGTTTTTAGAGATGGGGGTCTCACTCTAGCTCAGGCTAGTCTTGAACTCATGAGCTCAGGTGATCTGCCTGCCTTGGCCTTCCAGAGTGTGGGTGGCATAAGCTACCGTGCCTGGCCTTCTTCAAATATTTTTATGTACTACTCATTTTCTGCTCATACTTTAAATTTTTGTTTTCTGTGCTCTTGAGACTATATTATTTCTGTCAACCTGCCTTCAAATTCATTGACTCTTTCCTCTGACATCTCCATTCTACTATTGAACTCATCCCTTGAATTTTGTATTTGGTTATTTTTTCTTTTTCTTTTTTTTTTTTTTGAGACAGAGCCTCAAGCTGTCCCCCTGGGCAGAGTGCCGTGGCATTACAGCTCACAGCAACCTCCAACTCCTGGGCTCAAGCGAGTCTCCTGCCTCCACCTCCCAAGTAGCTGGGACCACAGGCACCCGCCACAATGCCCGGCTATTTTTTGGTTGCAGCCGTCATTGTTGTTTGGCGGGTCTGGGCAGGGGATTCGAACCCGCCACCTAGGGTGTACGTGGCTGGCACCTTAGCCTTGGTTATTTTTTCATTCAGAAATTTCCATTTGGTACTTCAGTTTCTTTGCTGAAACATTTTTGTTTCACAAGTGTTCTCCGTTATTTGGAACATTTTTTATAATGGCTAAAGTCTTTGTCAGGTAATTCTACAGTAATACCTATGTCATCACAACACTAGCTGTCTTTTCTTATGTGAGCTAAATTTTCCTGGTTCTTTGTATGCCAAGCAATTTTGAATTATATCCTGCATATTTTGAATTACTGCATTATGAGACTTTGAGTCTTATTCAAACCTTGTGGAAAATGCTGACCTTGTTTTGGCAGGTATTAAACCTGGTTGAATTCAGGCCACAAGTTCCAACCAGCCTTTTATGGCTTGTGATTGCAATATCAGTTTTATTTTCAAAGACTTTTCATTGCTCAGCGGATTTCTCCCTAGGCTGTGGTCTCTTCCTTTGTTCAACTCTCAGAGTCTTTGGTATGTTCTATGGTATGTTCTCAGAGTCTATGGTACAGTTTGGCTGGTGAGTCCAGTAGTTCATAAACTATTGGGGTCAATTGTTATGGAATCAATTTCCCAATCTCCTCCTTGTTTAGCCTCAATAGAGTTTTATACGCAAGTAGAAGAACACAGACATACGTGTATATAGATATTAGTGCCACAGGTATTAGAAATACTGTGATAAGGCCAGGCACTGGCTCACGCCTGTAATCTTAGCACTCTGGTAGGCCAAGATGGACAGATGGCATGGGCTCAGGAGTTTGAGACCAGCCTGAGCTACAGTGAGACTCTGTCTCTAAAAATAGCCGGGTATTGTGGTGGGTGCCTATAATCTTACCTACTCGGAAGGCTGAAGCAAGATGATCTCTTGAGCCCAAGCATTTGAGGTTACTGTGAGCTATGATGCCAGAGCAGTCTACCGAGGGCTAAGGATGTCTCAAAAAAAAGAAATATTGGCTCGGCGCCTATAGCTCGCC